CTTGAAAACGAAAGCGCAACAAGTATCGAAAGTACGTGTATCGGCGCGTGTCCGCGATATTCGCGATTAAGGCTTTCGATCTTCCCACGAGTCTCGAGACCTCTTCTCGTTTATTTTTTTTCGCAGTTGGCCATAGGTCGAGGCAGGTACGGCACGCGATTGAAAAAAGAATTTAATAGCCGGAAAAGAAGTTCCGTAATACCTGGCATTGTTTTCCGCGTTCGTCGGAACAATAGAATCGTTAGTTGTGGTCGATCGTGCGCGTTGCGGCTGTTCGAAAAGCGTGCCTTTATAAAGACACACGGTGTCGGAGTGCAGAGTCGCGCGCACCACTATTTCGACATCGCTATTTTGAAAACGTCGAAGTTGAGAATGCGAAAATTTGTAGATTCGTAAATAGAAAGGCAATAAGTAGGTTGCAACGAAAATAAGGTACTCGTAGTTCGAAGGCTACGCGTTCGTTCCCGAGAAGGATAGCGAATCGAGGCGTTGCTTGTCGGCGAGACGAAGCGGGAAGAAATCGGTGGACAACGCGCGCGGTGCACTTGCATAAAATAATCAGTCAACGACCGCTGCTCGCGACTGGCGTTGCTACTTTTGCGTCAGGGTCGGCTCGGCTCGGCAACGTGTCGTGTAGCGTAACGTTGGGCTAGGTTAGTAATATCGCCTCGCCTCTCCTCGCTTCTCCTCGCCGGAGCTATTTACTCTAGGCTCTATTCTTACGCGTCAGCCAACTAGCACGCGCGCCAACTTACACAGATACACGGTTCGTTCATCGTTGCGCGTGTGCCTACGCTTTCTGCTTACGGTTTTACCGAGCCTCGAGCGTGTCCAATAAAGCCGATATCGCAGCGTACTCGCATACGTCCCAATTAGTGACCAGACAATCTATTTGCGGTCTTTTCCTTATCTCTTATATCGCACGATTACCTCGAACACTTACGTTTTCCATGCTGCGACGAGCATGGACGAGCACGTAAACGAAGAAGACGCGACGAAACGCTGGAATTTTCCGTGGGTCGATCCTTCCCATTTATCGATTTCGTTGATTCTTATCGAGACAAGTTAAGGTCGGCCGCGAGGAAACGATCGTCGAACTATCTATATTTTTTACCTATATTTTCCTGTAAAAGCATTCTATACTCGTCGTTCAGCTCGGCTTGTAGATCCTTTTATCGCGATCCGGTTCAAAAGCGATTGACGATCGTGCGACGAAAAAGGCGGCGTCATATCTCGCGGTTTAAAGTTCACGGTTCACAGTAACCCAGAAGCGTAGTGATCCGTAAAAAGCGCGAGCTCCCGCGTATCTGTGTCACGACAAATACGCTCGCCGATGAACGCGTTCCCGGTAAACATGTTTGTTCGTTCGATCTCGAGCTACGTGGCACGTATACGGCCGGTCGACCGTATACTGGTTTCTTTTTTGTGTTAGGTTAGTGTAATTCCGTCTGACGAGGTTACGTTATTCCACTGGCTCTCTCGTCAACCATAGTCGTCAACGTCACGCAACGAAGCCCACGCGTATCGCTTCGCGATTAACGTTCTCTGCGCCGTATCACCTTATCCGTTTCGCTTAACGACCGTCTCGCGAAGTTGCTCGTGCAATAAAGTCGCTACGCGAGCCGTGCTTCTCGACTGCACATCCCGATGAATCACGAAGTCAGAAACGAGCTATTGGGTCGCGACACGCACGCGATACTTTATCCTCGTCGTAGCACGTCGTAGCCCCCATCCATCGATGTGCTCCACCGATCTCGATCGTCCTGCTTTCTGCGATTTAACCGCACAAATATCCCACAAACCAAGTTCTGCGCTTTATATTCAAAGTTACGGACGAAAATACAAATCGATCGAGTTATCAGATTATGCCTAACGAGATAGTAGAAACGGTTCGATACGATTTTATCGCGTTGTTACACCGATAATTTAATGCGCGAAATAACGCGTATTCCGCGTGTACGCGTTTCATCGGGTCGATCAACAGGTTTTCGGGCTTTCGGTCTTTCGGTCTTTCTGGGCATTTACACGTATTCTACGTATTATTTATACGAACATTTTTTCCCTATTACAGAAAAACAAACTAGTCGAAATGAAACTAGACAACAGATTTCGACTCGGTTTTGGTATCAGCCAAGCGTGCAGTCGGAAGCTCGTTAAAATCGGAGGCGGGCGGTTAAGTCGTCCTCCTTCTTGTTAGTCGAATTGGATAACGAGTCTTTCGCGCGGAATAAAATTGGCCGTTCCGTGGCCGCGCAAGACAAATCAATTGACGAGTACGATATCTCGCCAGCGTTCGGTCCGTGTGCCTTTTAGCACGTTATCCGTTTCGTGTATAGGCGCGTTAAACGAGTCAACAGCCTTAAGTCGAGTTTTTCTTGGCCTAGGTTAGGAACTATCGCGTCCAACATCGACGATGTTTACCACCACGCCTCTATTCTCGTTTCTCTTTGGATTAACGGCTATCTCTCGGCTCGCGTCTTCTCGCGTGCTTCGAATACAGCTGAACGTGTGCGAGGTCGTGGCTGACGATAAGACGGTTACAATTTTTCCTTCGTCAAATAAACTTATCGCTATCGGAATGCTTCGTTCTTCGGCTGCTTTGGTCAGCAAATTGTTTCGAGACTTTTCGAGAAACGAATACATTTTTCACGCGAGAATCGTGTCTTCGCATCCTCGGAATTACGAAGCGGCTTCTATGTATTTATTTCGAAGGTAAGCTTTTTCGAGTCTGACGGAATCTCGCGATGAAGAGAACGGTGTCGGTAGTGCAGTAAACTCGTAGCGGCGGATAAATATACGGTATTATGTAAGTTGTTTGCCGCGAGCCAGGGTACGCGCGAGAAGGAGAGCCATCGAGGAGAGCGAGGAAGAACCTCGTACGTCTGGTTGCGTAATAAACGAGACGCCAAAGTTCTCCGGTTCCTTCTGCGTTGCCCGCAGGAAAACTCGAAAACGAATCCGATCTTTTTTCGTTCGTCGCTTCTTGAACAGAGAACAAATATATTCTCTTTTTTTTGCCTCCGTTTCTCCGTCGCGAAATATTCGCGTCGATCGCTCACGGCTCGATGGCGTTACGCAACCTGACACGTTCTCTGGAGATTTCCTCTGCCTGTGAAATCGCATCGAAATCGTCCGGAGGTTATTTTCGGTATCGATGGCCATCGTCCTCCGATATCGCATCGGGGTGGAAACGTGAACGCGGTGGTCAAACGTGCCGCGTATTTCCCGGAAATTCTTGTTCATTGATGATCTCACGGATCGTGTCCCTCTCGTTTTTTGCAGAGCTCGTTACCGGCGTGTCTCGTTAACGCCAACAACCGGCTGTCCTTTTCCTACTCCGTCGACCCACGCCCAACGAACGAGGATTAATTTTCGATCGTAGGCGTAATTTTGCTTTTTTTCATTCGCCGTATCGGTAAATGGTTTCGCCCAACTTTTTCTTACGTTTTATTCTTTCTTGGAAGACAGAGAGAAACAGGGCAGAATCGTCGTCTTCGTCGTCGTCGTCTCATTGTCGACCGACAAAGAAGGGAAGGGAGCACGGTACTCGTTTCTGTTCGGAGATTTCAGGTCGCAACGGTGTAACGTTCTTGATCCGATTCGACAGCTGCTAATGCTCGCGGAAAGACTGGTCGGTGGATTGTTGTGCCGCGACTTCGCGACGGAAAAGAACGATGGGTATTTTCGCGAAGAAATATCAGGGAGTAAAGAGGAAAGCGACGCTCGTGTGACGGATGGAAAAGCGAACGTAAGGGATTCGACTGTCTCCCTTTTCTCGTTTCCCTCCTCGGCGGGTATCGACAGCTTCAAAGGGATTCATCCCCTTGTTGGATTTCCTCGTTCGAAGAACGTGCGACGCGAGCTTTCAGGCAATTTCTCAGTCGTGCAGGTCACGTCTTTTGTAGCACGAACGAACGAACGAATGAACGAGCGAGCGAGCGAACGAACGAACGAACGAACGTACGAACGCACACGGTTTCTGGCTCGGCTACCAAACTGATTCCGCCACCCTCCGGGTGCTCACGCTCGCGCGTTGCGACTGGGTCGGAGTCGGAGGAATCTCATAAATACTCGAGAAACGAGGATACTCGACCGAGGACCAGTCATATACGTGTTCCTTTTCCCGTGATTCTATTCGGAAGAACGGGGATTTTCGGCCCAAGCTTCGTCTCCTTGTATTCTCGCTGACCCCTGAAATCTCTCTCTTCGGACGAGCAAATTGTTTCCTCTTCGATCGGTGGCCCTCGTCATGGACCACCCCCCTTCGAGCTCTATTTTCGCTTTTCTCGCTGATCGAGTTTTCTTCGCGAATGGAAAACAGGAGAGAGGTAAGCGCTTCGAATTTATCTGGCTGGGAGTTGAAATTTTTCAAGCTGTGTACTCTCGATAGTTTTGCGATACTATTCGGCTATTGGAATATTCTATGCGTATACTTATCGCGTCGATTCGGATAAAAAATGAATTACTTGGAATTATATTTCTGTTCGATGCAAACGCGAAGTTTAATAAAGTTCGTAATTAAAGGAAACTTCAGCCGTACCTTAAACGAAATCGGCATATAAAAGGAAAAAGAGAGCACTTTGCTGCGCATAGTATTTGGTCCACGTCATTATTTCCTTCGCTCCTTCGCGACAGCTTACGTGTCGGTATTAATCAAGCTATTGTTCGACCAAACAACATATATTGGTCAGGCAATAGGAGGAAAAATCATGCGTTATGTAAGCAGGGAATACTGGAACGTTATTTAGTGGTTTTAAGTCGCGACGAACAGTCGAATCTCTTCTCTTCTTGGTGCTTGGCTGTCGCCCGAGGAAGAAACTGCCTTTTCAAACTCGATTCTTCGCAGGAATAACTTGTGAGTTAGATCGTTGATACGTAGCTTTTTTTCTTTTATACAATTTTCTTCGTTACGTCTTTCATTGCATTTAGCTTTCGCATTCTATTGCAGTTTCCATCGCGGTATACGTAGGTATTACGTATCGAGTAACGGAGAATGTAAGTTTACTTTGCAAACAATTTATTTATTTCTTTTGTAATCGGTACATCGTCTACATCTAAGAGGGCTGGAAGTGTGCGCGTCACCCGAAAAATTCTCAAGTTACAATTACAGACGCGTCTTTTAGAGTTAACAATCTTCGAGCGCGACGCAGGCTTTGGCGCTGTTTCGTACGTAACCTTTTTGGCACCTGCATCCACCCGTGAAGCTAGGAGTACATTGCTAAAACAGACAAGTTTATTTTACGAAGTGAAAAATCCATGGTGATCGTTTAGAAAGTAAAAAACGTACAATAGCTGGGCACAAGAAGCGGATAGGATGTGGGTTATCGCAAGTTGGTTCGCAAAGACTTCCGCAAATGTTCCACACCTGGTTCACAGCGCACTCGGTTGAGTTCTGTGCTGTAAAGGTAAAATTGCATTAGTACATAGTTGAAATCACGAGTAACCCTGTTCGTCACTAAAACGATCATCGTTGATTTGAAAACTTTGAAAACAAATATTTTCACTTGTTAAGATAACACGATTCAGGTAATCGGTTTAAACAATAACTTAATTTCGCGTGTACATATAAATAGAAATACTTACCAGCAGCGTATGCAACGGCAAGGAGCACCAACAATACGACGTATCGAGACATGATCAATTTTATTTCGATACTTTCTTCTTCCTTTCGAAGTTTCGTGATCGTATGGTACCGAACCTCTCGATGTCATCGGTTTTTATACCACACGGTTTTACGTAACTTTGAAAACTTTTGTTATTTCTCGAAAGATAACGTCTACCGATAACAAGAGAAGTCACAAAGGAAAGATAATAATTTATGCAAATACTCGGAGAATGTGACACGCCTAATTAACTTGCATTGTCGAAACGTATTGTCGGTGTGTAGAATACGCTTTTATTTTGATCGCTAACCGACATTGTAGCTATTCTTTGGGCGCGCTACTCGTGGCGCTTGATACGTTTTAAGGTCGCAGATAACGAGTAATTACCTTGTGTAAATTCATTCGTTTACCGTTCGACTTTTCTTCTTCGAATAATTGCCAGTCGGAGGGGATAATTTTATGCGTATACGATCGACGACGAATAAAAGCTGTTGGAATCGTTCAGAGCAATTTCTTTTACGCTCTTCAGTTTTCTTTTGTATCGTTGGAGAAAAACGTTGATTCCAGTGGCACGATCGATCAACGGAAAAGAAGTTACAAAGTTGCATCGCGTTGTTCGTAGATCGAAATATTAGTGGTTAGTGACCGCGCGTCCTCTTCGCGACGATATCGAGGTCGGGTTGTTGGGGTCGATGGGTAATCTTCTTAACGAAGAATCGTTCGTTCGGACGGCGAAAGAGGGAAATACCTCTTCGGTGGTTCCAATAAGCGGCTATCGGATACGCTTGTCTATTCTCCGGAGAGATGAAATTCGTGACCAACGCGAAGAGAAGGAACGAGAACGAAGTAGAAAATACGAGATAGTAGTTACGGGGAGAAACAATCCCATTCTACTATCCCTGATGCTCGGGGGGGCAGAAAGAGGTCCGGGGTCGAGGACGAACGAGTGGCAGGTGCGTCTGTTTCTAGGATGGAGCTTGCTGGCAGGGAAACTTAATACGGTATTTTATCGGTCATAATGCGCCCTTTTCACCAGGTCCCATCTTTTTCTCTTGTTCGTAGTAACACGCGACGATATCGTCGTTCTTCGCGGGCGCGTTTCTATTTTCTCCTTCCTGAAATGTTCCTACAATCGTTGAACGTACGAATATATATGTATTTCCTGCGTTTCGCTACGCATATCGAGAAACGTCGGTACGACCATCCTAGAGGCAAATTACGCGAGCAGACAGTGTCGCACGCGAGTTAAGTCGCTTTATCCGTGGCGCGAACGGCCTTTGTTCTCCAAATGTCTCGACATCCCGAGGGATTACTTACGCGTGTGTAGCTGTTTTTCGGCAAAACGCGACTGATTATTCCGAGATGGGGAATAATAGCTGCGCGAACAAAGCGTCCCGACGATGTCGTCGGTATAGCCGCACGCTTATTAACGCCCTGCCAAGTATTGTCCTTTTGCTTCCTTTGACGCGCCCTCCCCTTTCCTTTTGTCGCGTTTTCAACGAACACGACCGGGTAACGGGAAAAATCGAGAAGCACCGTTCGTAGCTCGTCCTCTCGCGATACTCTCGACGACCGCTGCAGGCGTCGATCTTCCTTCAAAAATACTCCACGGATTTGCACTCTCCTGAAAGCCTCTTGCACAGGCATTTCCCGTTCGAAAAGGTATCTACTTTTTTTTTGCTGTCGAACCCCGTCCCGAAGTAACGCGAATAGAACTTTTCCGCTGAGACATGAAAAATTGGGAAAGCACCGACGATCGTGTTGGAGTGCCATCGACGAGTCGCGTTAACGTAGTTCGTGGCCGCCGTATACGTGCAGCAAATCAGCGAAGAGGTAGAGTGAGTCGTAAGAAATTTGCCAGCACGATCTCGATTCTACGTTATTTCGTTTACTCGGTATTTACAACGTTTACCGTGTATACCGATATGCTGTGGGATCGAGGACGAGAGAGAGAACGAGAAAAAAACATTCTCTTTCGTTTCGTCGAGCAATTTCATTTCTATTTTCACGGGCCACGTTTCCCGGTTTTACACGCGTTGCTCCAACGAAAAACAAATCGATCGCGCGTCGCCTTGGGCTGAATTTCAAAAGACGAAGAAAAATAACGCGAGAAAGAGTGGCGGATATTCTTTCCTTGCGGCCATCGCGTTAGAAAACGCGTACGAATTTAATGTAGCGCGATTGAAATATTAGCTGCTATACTTTTTTGCGATACACAAAACTTTCGCGTCTTTTTTTCGCTTTCCAGCCCGTTAAGTCACGAGAAAAACACCCTTCTTAGCTGGCGTTGTATGGAAACGCGAGATTTAAATAACGATTTAACACCGTAAAGTCTGCGTCCCCCGTTCATCGTCGTTCCTGCGCCTGTCACGGAGAAGAATTTATTATTTCCAAACATTTGGATAGACTGTTGCAACTTATCTCTGAATGGGAATCTGTTCTCGCGGCAACGGAGTAGATATTGTTCGCTAACGATCGTTAGAAATCGAAAACGCCGAGGAAGCAAAATCCGTCTATTCGTCATCGCGCGTCGTTGCATCCCTTCGAACGAATCTCTTTCTTTTCGGCGAGGCACGCAGAAGAGGGCGGAACAACCCCCGGAGGTTTCTTCGTCGAGAACGAGTCGCGTAAAAAAGTCTGGTTCCAGCAGCTTGGAGCACCATCGTCCAAAGTGTCCTCGTATTCTTGCAGTTTTATCGCGCTCACGCGACCCAGACTTACCGGCAAACGTCTGTGGAAGAGTAGTCGCGGCGATTCTTGGAAATCCGTCTTTTCTTGATATGTAATTTTGATAGAACAGTTTAGCAGTTTCTTCGATCGAGATTAAAAAACTAAGGAAAGGTGCAGGTACACATACCTGTAAGGGAAAGGACCGGTTTTTCGTTAACGAGGCGTGTGAAGAACTCGGCCAGTGACGCTCGTGGCCCGTTTTTGCGGGTCGAAAAGAAAATGAAATAGAGGAGGAAAGTCGCGACGGAAGCAGAAGAAAAAAGAGAGCCTTAAATGTACCTCGCAGCGAAATTCGCAAAGCGTTCGGTAACAGCTGCTACTTCCTTTTCCCTTTCCGAGTTGCTCGATGCTGGTGCCATTGCCGTATTACCGTGCGCCTAAAAAATCCACTTCCGGCATCTTCTCGAGAAATAAACACTCGTTTCGCCGGACACGAGTATCACCCTTTCCCCTGTTTCTGTCTTCTATTCTCTTTTCTCCTAGCCGGAACTGGAACTTCCTAATTACTACAAATGAAAGTTATCGATTATACGAGTTATCGTTAGAGAAGTTTAGCAGGTTGTCAATTTAATTTCTTATAGAATCACGTATATTAGTTTGTCAGTGCTCGTGTTCGTGGAGGTGTCCGTGTTAGTGGAGGTGTATATAGAGAGGTGTCCGTTTGTTCGAAGGTATTCGTCCGAGTGGCGTGTTTGACCGGTAAAAGGGTTAATCCGGCTGACTCGGCTTCTAAGAAAAGGAGTCTCCGGCCGATCCGAACAGGTGTATCCGCGAGAGAGAATGTCGAGGGGGCAGAGAGTCGAAGGGATAGCCAGATTTTGCTAACCTTTCTTTTGCCGAACCGCGTGTACAATGGAGGTCAGATACTCTTTGTACGGTTTCTCGCGTCAGTTCGAACGGGTTAATTCCTTTTAAAATCCGGAATTCGAAACGTTTCACGCGACGCTCGTATCCTTTCGTGTAGCAGCTGTTTACGATCTAAGTTCAATAGATCAATAGATTGCGTTTTACAACCTCCACGAATCGATTCGAAAGAACGGCCCCAATAGGTCGAGTATAAGCAGGCAGGAACGAATCGCTTACCAGTTGTCGTATCTTATCGTCTAATAAAATTATCGTTTTAAAGCCGTGGCACGATTCCTTTCGTTGCTTTCGACAACTACGAGCACACGGAGAACAATAGCGGCTAATGGTAGTTTTGCGTTATCGGGTCTTAACGCGGTAATACGCGACAACCGTTTTGCGTTTACGTTTTAACCACTCGTCCGCGTAATAGTCGAGGCTCGTTCGAACCGAGGAACCGCTTGAACGCACGAAAACGGAGCGTAGCCTCGCGAGCAGTGTTTTCGATAAAACAAACGAATCCGCGTGAAATGCAAAATTCCTGTTTATTCGCGTTTCGCGACGATAAGGTGTTCGCATCGATTCGAATAAGTATGCGCGTCGACGTTGTCGGAGCTTCGTTTAAATAAACCGGCACCAATTAACGTTCGTATCGTCGACCTCTTGTTCGCGTAAGTGGGGCAAGGCGATTCCTTCCTTTCTCTCGGGCTCTCGCGAACGGCGTTCGCAAATATTTGTAGAAGATCGAGAGAAAAATTTAGCCCGATCGGAAAATCGCCGCAAAATTACTCGTTAATTTTCAACGATTCCTAAATTCTTTCGATTCGACAATTCTCGCTTTCGTGATCGTATCATGTGTATAGGAAAGAACGGAGGAAAAGACGAGGAGACGAAATACGCTCGTCCCATGGTTATGTAAATTGTATGCAAACGTATAATCTCGATCGAAGCGTTTACTTAGCACGTCTAACCCGGGATTTTCTCCCATCCTCGTAAAAAATCAATGCCGCCGTGTAATTCGCGGCCAAGCGGAACAACGGTGTGTGCGGCGCGCGGCGCGCGGCGATCCGTGGAGCGTGAAAGCCGTCTCGAGGAGACGAAACAAACGCGTTTCTCGTTGTTTTTATCGCGACTTTGAGTTCGTTCGTGGTCGGGGAAGACAGTTGACGAGTATTTACGGTGTTCGACGCGTACACGCGAGAAGGCGAGAAAGCGGTGGTGGAATTCGCAGCAATTTATGGGACACGTTGGCTCGTTTGCAAGTAGCTAAAGACGGTGGCAGGTTCGAAGCGGGTGTTCGCTTTGACAAATGGATCGAAATTGCCAATTATCCTGTGGCGCGTTCGGTATCGCGTGTGCCCGCCAACACGCGTGCCACATTTTCGATAAAAATATTGCCGCGCGCGCGCTGAAACGCGAGGCGAGTTCTCTTTCGATCGTCGATTCCGGACGCGTCGCGGCCGATATCGTTCACGCACCATCGAAGCCGCACGCGAGAAAGGACCCCCTCGAGCACTTTACCCGTCGTAGGCGTTCTACGACCACGTAGCCAAGCGTGAAAAGTAAATCAACGCTGGAACGTTTGGCTATTGTGTCCGTTATTATTACCATTAGTTTTATGTATGCTGGCTGTTCCTTTTACGGTTATAAGCAAGATACGTTAACCGAACACGGATCCCAAAGTGCTTTATTGAAAAGTTACCGACTGTTCGGAGCGGCGAACACCGCGTAGCACCGATAATAAGCGTTTTATCAGCTCGGAGAAAGTAAGTAGACGTATCGGACGACTTTTGTACGCTTCTATAAATCGTTCTTTCGTTGGACGCCGTGCTATTTTCGAGTTAATAATACCAAATAGCGGACGTTAGATCGTTGCGCGTCAGAGAGGGTTAAATCTATTATTACCCGTTTTCCTGTATATCGATCGAGAAAGGGTCTCTACCCCGTTAATTGGATACGATGAAATTACGATAATCTCGTTGGACCCATTAGAAATGACCCGACGACTCTCTGTTTTCTGTTGCAGGTAAATCCAGTGGCAATCCTATTTAATTCGTGGAGAGGTTGGCGGTAGAGGTATCCGTTAGCGAAAATAATGTTTCGATCGTTGGGAAGGAGGAAGGGATTCACGACCCGGTGACTTTTATCGGAAACACCATTCCCGTCCGCCTTAACACCCCGTGGGGAAGGAGCGGTGATTTATACGAGCTTGATCGGCCGTCCTAAGCCTCTCTCGTTAGAATCGATTGCGCGAGGGTGGACGAGCAAACGCGTTGCTTCTATCCCTGGTCACGTTTATCCCTCCTGAAATTAGGTCGTCTCGACGTTTCGATCAGATTTCTCGAAACAATTCGCTCGTCTCGTGTCAATCTGTCGGATGTTCGACTCCAGCCGAGAAATGTTTTCCATCGTTAAATTCCGTTCGGTGACGATTCGTTCTTTCGATCGAGACATTTATGAACGATATAGGGATCGCGAAATTCCTTGCACCGAACAAACGTTGTTTGTCGTTGAACGTTCTCGATCGTCGAGAGATTGGTTCGTTAGGCGAACGGTCGGCACGAGATCCGTCGCGGGAATAATAATAGGCGCGGAAAAGAGAGAGAGAGAGAGAGAGACGAAGGCGTCGCGTCTCTGTATCGTCTTCGTAACGTTCTCCTCGGAACGCACGAACCTCGAATCAACGATTTATTATCCGTCCCGCGAGGATCAATACCAGCGCAGAAGAGGCGCATTCCCACGTTGAAATTGAAATCTATTCGTTCCGTTCGCCCTCTTGTCTCTGCTTCCCTCCTTACTTCTTTCTCTCTCTCTCTCTCTCTCTCTCTCTCTCTCTTCTTTTCCGTGAGCGTTGTTGCGAGTCTTGATTGCCAGTCGGCTGTAAAGAACGTTCGATGCATACGACGTCGGCATGCAGCGGTTGCAGGAGACAACGACCGACTTCAAGGTAGCAAAGCCAAGTCTCAGTCGACGGGCTTATGTAAGCTGTTTCGAGGTCTGCCGTGTGCAGTGCGCGTCGCACTCCGCTCGTCGCGCGCTAGGGGACGATGAACGCGAGCTAGCTCGCGCCATCGAGCGGATCCCGCGATAGCCCGAGAGAGTAAGAGAGAGACAGAGAGAATGGTGTTTCCCTTTGCTGAGCCAGCTTTTATCTCGGGTCCGATGCGAATTACAACGAAACGAGCACGAAATAAGTACACCTACCGATAACGAGACATTTCGATTCTTCCCCTTTTACACCTTACATTTTTTCTATGCTCGTTTCGCGCATAGTGTTACGCGCATTTAGAAGGAACCTTTGCAAACCGTGAAAACGCGTTAAACCGATAAGGTACATATCGGTAAAATTACAGGCGCGAACACATTGTGCTACTCGTTTGCTATGCGCAACACGTACGTCGTCGGGAAAACGAGTTTATTAAAAGTAACCGTGGTTCGATATTCATCGACTCACTGGCCAAACCGGAATGTCTCGTTCGCGTTGTGGCAATTTCCGTGATTGAATTCGAAAGCTAAAGCGACAAGAATGCAACGAGGCCACCCACTCGAAATTATACGCTTCACGAAAAAACGAAAACGTGTCTGTGAGTTTCGCGTATCCGTCGTCCCGACACTACATCGGGGCCCCGACGAAATATCAAATTTACAGATTGTGAAATTTTTCCAATTTTCACAGACCTCGATCGTGCTCGCCGCGCGATGCACCGACATCTTTCGTTTATTTTTCAAAAAAAGATTCTAGTTACGCCTATAGTCTCATCGACGACAATTTGTATTCTGTCTGAAAGATGTTCCCAAGACGACTCCCAAATGACGCGTAGAATTCGAATCTCGTCGATCTTTATACGCTTCCTCTCGACAGTTCCATCAATTTCTATAGACGCGAAACGGAAAAATACGCCCTCGAAGGATGTAAACGTGTCCGGAGAGTCTCTTTCCCTCTCTCTTGAGAGAGAGAGAGAGAGAGAGAGAGAGAGAGAGGAAGTCTTGTAACAGTCTCTTATTCGAAACTCGAATCCTGCTATCGACATACGAGATAACGGAGAAACGATGGTTATCACCGTCTTCTCGACATATACTACCGTTCAAAAGTGCCGAAAAATTGGAGAATTTTGAAGAAAATTCCTTGGCGCTGTTGCGCATCGTGCCCAATGAAAGAACACTGTTTTACGTAGAATCGGAGCGACGCGTTTCAGGGCGTCGAACCACGTGTGTATGACTAACAATGGAAGCAGGCTCGATACTTCGAAAGGAGAATCGATAGCGTAGAGAAAGCGACACGACTGCCGCTAATACTCTCGGAACAGATATCGGAAAAGTAATTTCAACGTCTACCACGCTCATACTTTACCCGATAAAAGGAAAGGTCCAGTCGCTCGACTATGAACTTTGAAAATTCGCGTCTCGATCGTTGATTGATCGAGAAAATTACCGAGTTATCGGCAAACGCTCGTCTTCGTTTACCTTTCGTCGACGTCGTTAGGTTTGTTCCAGTCAGCCCTTGTATCTTTCGACCTTCTATCGGATGTCGTCGAACTTTCCGTCCGGGAGCCCGAACAACTCTCTGGCCCCACGTCGGACATTTAAATGCAAATACACTTTTTTACTTATATTTATATGCAAATATGGGCGTTCCCGTTGTGGCGGATGGGAGCTGGCTGGGACGCGGTGCGAATGAAAACGCCGCGACAGCATCGGTTATTTCAGAAAAGGCCAATGTTCGTTCGCGATACCTTGCAATTATCGTCGGTCCAATCATTTACCGATCATTCTGGCCAAACTTTTTCGTTTCATGGTGAATCTACCGACGCGCACAGTTGGTTCTCTATAAGCATTCGTCGTTAACTTTTAAATTTTCAAGGATTTTCGTCGTTTTAACGAATACGTTTATTCGGCTATTCGATCACCGATCGCGCTCCTACCGTCATCGGTTTTTACCGTTTTCAGCGTGGACGTTTCTTCCGAGGAGTATCGAAGAGATAAATCTCCGCCAAGGTCGAGGCAACCAGAATCTACCTTTATGCGCTCTATCTTTCCTTCGATTTACCTTTCGAGTATTCGTTTAGTTTTCTTTCAATTTCGAATCGCGCGAACGCGAACGGACTCGTCGATTTCTTCGTCGATTCGATCGAATATCGGTGTTCGCGAGACTCGGAAGAATTTGAAAGACGTCGCGTCGAAATCTTAGCCATGAGACATTTTAAAATGTAGATGCACTCGTTTAAATACCTCGGTCCTTGTTCGCGATTTAATCGTCCTCGTTTTCTTCGGCCCTTCGCGTGTTTTTCACTCCCTCCCTCCCCGCGCTTTCT